ATGTCATTTTAACAGAGTTTAGATACAGATCTAAGGTAGATGTATGTGTTCCATCTGGTATCCACTACCCAGAAGTGACATCTCCCGGCTGGGTGCGGTGGCTCACACCTATAATCCCAGCACTTTTCGAGGCCAAGGTGGCAGGATTATTTGAGCTCTGGAGTTCGAGACCAGCCTGGGCAACATGGTGAAACCCCATTTCTACCAAAAATACAAAAAATCAGTGGGGCATGGTGGTGCGCACCTGTGGCCCCAGCTACTCGGGAGGCTGGAGTGGGGGGAATCACTTGAGTCTAGGAGGTTGCAGTGAGCCAAGGTCACACCACTGCATTCCAACCTGGTGACAGAGTGAGACCCTATCTCAAAAAAAAAAAAAAGAAAAAGAAAAAAAAGGAAGTGACATCTCCCAGAAATGTCAAACCTAAACTAAGACACCAGAGATTGGGAGTGTCAGGAGCATTAGCACATTATTCCTATTCTTTTTTTTTTTTTTTTTTTTTCTGAGAAGGAGTCTCGCTCTGTCATCCAGGCTGGAGTACAGTGGCACGATCTCAGCTCAGTGCAACCTCCACCTCCCGGTGTTCAAGCAATTCTCGTGCCTCGGTCTCCTGAGTAGCTGGGATTACAGGAGTGTGCCACCAAGCACAGCTAATTTTTTTGTCTTTTTAGTAGAGACAGGGGTTTCACTATATTGGCCAGGTTGGTCTCGAACTCCTGGTCTCAAGTGATCCACCCACCTCAGCCTCCCAAACTGCTGGGATTATAGGCGTGAGCCACCATGCCTGGATGTATTCTTTATATGACATTTGATTCTGTTAACTTTCACCTTAACATTACACCTCATGACAAAAGAAGGCCCAGGCAGCAACAGCAGTGGGTATCACAGGCAACCGAGGGGTGTACTGCCTATAGATAACATAAAAACAATACAACTGCTTTTTATTATCACATGTGCCAGCAATTCAAAACAATGTCAGTAATAAAATACTCCTTTCTGAAAAAGCTCTTGTCAATCTAAGTTCTGATCCATTGCTGCAATTACTGTTGGTTATTAATAATATATATGTAAGCTTCAATATAGCATATTTTAATCTCTTTTCCTTTAATTAACAGATAAGTTAATTCAGGGAACTTCCAGGCTCACACAGACTCAGCTTCATGCACTTGTTTTGACAGCACATTGAAATGGTACAGAATGCTCCCAGCTCACTTACGCACAATGCATGGCCCCAACCACTAATACAGAATAGAGGCTGGGCACAGTGGCTCACACCTGTAATCCCAGCACTTTGGGAGGCCAAGGCAGGTGGATCACCTGAGGTCAGGAATTCAAGACCAGCCTGGCCAACATGGTGGAACCCCATATCTACTAAAAAATACAAAAATTAGTCAGGTATGGTGGCAAGTGCCTGTAATCCCAGCTACTCGGGAGGCTGAGCCAGGAGAATCGCTTGAACCTGGGAGGTGGAGACTGCAGTGAGCCAAGATTGTGCCACTGCACTCCTGCCTGGGTAGACAGAGTGAGACTGTGCCTCAAAAAAAAAAAAAAAAGACATAGCCTTTTTAAAAAACAACACCACCACACCATTATCATAGCCAATAGATTCCTTAATATAATTGAATACCCAGTCCAACTCTTTACATAGCTCTTTCTCACCCTCACTACCACTTACCTTCAGATGCTACATCTATTATTCTTCATATTTGCTCATTGCTTGTTTCCAGTAGGACTCTTTTCAAAATGTATAATTATGTTATTTGTTTACTTGTTTAGCTGCGCTTTATTTTTTCCCATCTCCCTCATTAGAATATAAGCTTCCTGAGAAGAGAGATTATATTTGCCTTGTTTATCATAGAATCCCCAGCACAACTGCCAAGGTCAGAGTAGCAGACAAGGACTTGGCCCACAGAGAGTTTTGAAGATGGCTTACAAAATATAACATCATTTGGTGCAGCCAACAAAAATACAACTCGTATGTGCTCACCAAAGAAAGCAGCAAAGGATAGATAGGCTAAGGGTGCACGCTGGTAAAGATTCATGGTCCCTTGCCCAATTCCTGAACCTAAGCCAGTGTTCAGACCCAGAATCTATTGACTGAAGAGGCAGCAGGGTCCCCACAAGGAAGGATCTGGAACACAACAGCAAATATATACTGTAATGATTCCCCTAATCCTTCCCCAAAGGGGCCTAGGGTCATCTACTCAGGTGGGCTGTACGATAAGGAAAGAGGATACCCAGAAATGTTTAGGATTAGAACAGGATCTGAGTTAGCATTGACACGCAGAGACCCGAAGCATGCTCTCACCCACTTAGAGTGAGGACATACGGGAGGCAAAGTCCTACTTACAGAGGGTCTACCAGGTCTCTGGACTCAGCCAGTCATCATGTCTCTAATGGCCAAAAGTAGAATTGGGACTGACATACTTAGAAGTTTGAAAAACTCCACTCCTTGGCCTACAAATAGACCTGTCATAGTGGGGAAGGCCAAAAGTACATCTCTGAAACTGCACCTGAGTACACAGAAAACAACATTGCCGCCCAGGGCGGTTGGTGGGCATTAGTGTCACCCTGAAGTATCTCAACGATGCAGGAGTGGTGATCCCTATTGAATCTCCTTTTAATTCATGGATCTGGCACCTGCAGAAACTGGATCCTAGAAAACGACTGTCAACTACCGGAAGCTGCACAGGTAGCACTCCTGAACACAGCATCTACGCAAGTGTGGTAAGCTTCGCTAGAGCAAATTTGTACAGCCTCAGGCACAGTATGTGTGGCTACTGATTGGGTCAAATGCATGCTTTTCTACATCAGGAAAAAGAATCAGGAAGTTCACATTTACATGGAACAGACAATGATATACACTCACAAGTCTGTCACACTCACAGGACCATGGTAATTCTCCTGATCTCTGTCATAATATATTCTGAATACATCAGGGACATCTGGATATCCCAGAGAACATCACAATGATCCATTACTTCAGCACTGGCAAACTATGGCCGGTGGGCCAGATCCAGTCCACCACGTGCTTTTTTATGGCTTCCAGGCAAATAATGATTCTGACAATTTTTTTTTTTTTTGAGATAGAGTCTCGCTCTGTTGCCCAGGCTGGAGTACAATGGCACGATCTCAGCTCACTGCAACCTCTGCCTTTTGGGTTCAAGCGATTCTCCTGCCTCAGTCTCCTGAGTAGCTGGGATTACAGGTGTACGCCACCATCCCTGGCTAATTTTTGTATTTTTAATAGCGACAGGGTTTCGCCATGTTGGTCAGGCTGGTCTCAAACTCCTGACCTCATGATCCCGCCCGCCTCAGCCTCCCGAAGTGTTGGGATTACAGGTATGAGCCACTGCGCCCGGCCCATTTTTTTTTTTTTTTTTTTTTTTTTTTGAGACGGAGTTTTGCACTTGTCACCCAGGCTGGAGTGCAGTGGCACTATCTCAGTTCACTGCAACCTCCACCTCCCAGGTTCGAGCAATTCTCCTGCCTCAGGCTCCCAAGTAACTGAGATTACAGGTGCCTGCCACCACACCCAACTAATTTTTGTATTTTTAGTACAGACGGGGTTTCACCATGTTGGCCAGGCTGGCCTTGAACTCCTGACCTTAGGTGATCCTCCTGCCTTGGCCTCCCAAAGTGCTGGGATTACAGGCACAAGCTACAATTTTTTACAATTTTAAATGGTTAAAAAATATATAAATGAATGGTTAAAAAAGACTAGGATGAATAAGTAGAGCACAGGGGATTTTTAGGGCAGTGAAAATATTTGGTGTAATACCATATTGGTGGGCTCATGTCACTATAAATTTATTCAAACCCATAGGCTATACAACACCAAAAAGAAACCCTAAGGTAAACGATGGAGTTCAAGTGATAACGATGCGCCAAGGTTCACATATTGTTACAAATGTGCCTTCCAGTGCGGGATGTTGACAGTGGCTGTGCACGTGTGGTGGCAGGGAGTATATGGGAATGCTGTACCTTTTGACCAATTTTGCTGTGATCCTAAAAACTGCTCTAAAAAATAAAGTTTATTATTATTTTTAATCAAAAGAAGGCTATTTTGTGATACATGAACAGTATATGAAATTCAAATTTCAGTGTCCATAAATAAAGCTTTATTGGAACACAGTCATGCCCATTTGTTTATGTCTTGCCTGTGGCTGCTTTTGCACTACAATGGCAGTTGAGCAGCTAGGAAAGACGCCATATGATCCCAAAAGCCTAAAATATTTACTATCTGGCCCTTTACTGAAAGGGTTTGCCAGCCCCTGCATTCCACTGATGGCCCTGCAGCAATCAGCCAGGATGAGCGAGTGATGGAAACACACTGCAGGGCTTGGTAAGACATGTGTGCTCCAGACGTTGGCAATCAACCCTATGAAGGCCCAGGGACTGCATGTCATTCAAGTTTGTAGGGGTCCAGTGGTCAGTGGCACACTGGGATAGCCTATCAAGTAAAAAACAAATCTACTGCGTTTTGCATCCTCTACAGAGAAGGAAACTCAATGCCTCTTAGACCACTTTGGGTCCTAGTACATCCCGCATTAGGAATACTATTCAGGCTGACACAAAAAGCTGCCAGCTTTGAGTGGTGCCTGGAACAGGAAAGGACCCAGGCCACAGTGTAAGCAGCCAGGCTACTTGGGCCACATGATCCAGCAGACCCTACGGTTTGGGGGTGTACGTAGTGGAAAAGATGCCATGTGCAGACCACAGTCGCGGGCCACCAGGCCCGATTAATATTTTGGTGTTTTATAGAGATGCGGTCTCTCTATGCTGCCCAGACTGATCATCTCGAACTCCTGGGCTCAAGTGATCCTCCCGCCTCGGCCTCCCTGAATGCTGGGATGACAGGCGCGCGTCGCGGCACCGGCCCAGCGTTTTACTTTCCCATACTCTGCATGAACCTTCCGGAAGAAATGTTTCTATTTCATCAGGAAACCAGCCCTGCTCCGGCCCCTGCTGCGCGATCCCGCCCCGCCCGCCCAGCGCTCACCGCCTCCGGGCTTCTAGGCGCGCCGCGATGCGGAGGCGCCGGGCCTGGATGCGCTCCTGAGGGTTGTCGGAGTGGACCGAGGGCGCGAGAATCTGGGTGGACAAGTGCTCGTCCAGGTTCGGGTCCAGGCCCGCTAGGGACCCCGGCGGATTCATGGCAGGAGTCCCCGGCACCTAGGCGGCTCCCTCCGCACCACCTCCAGACCGCAGGCTGGTTGCTAGCAACAAACCGTTGCCAGGGAGAGCGGTCACCGGAGCCACCGCCCGAGTGGTTGCGCGCGCAGCTCCCTGGGCCCAGCCCGCCGCCAGCCGCCATTCGGGCGGAGCATCCCAGCCTCCGGCTGACGCCTCTCCAGCCGGTGGCTTGTCAGGGCTGTTGTCAGCCCCACGAAGGCCCGGTCGTATTAGCGGAGCTGTGGAGTCTCACCAGGAGACTAGAGGACTAAAGAGCTGGACCAAGCTGTGGTTCATCACTTACTGACCTTGATGATTAATTCATCTTCCATTAATTCATCAAATATTCCTCCACCTCATAGTCACCAAATACAAATACAAATGTTTGTAAAAATACAAAACTTAGCTGGGTTTGGTGGTGGGCACCTGTAATCCCAGCTACTCGGGAGGCTGAGGCAGGAGAATCACTTGAATCTGGGAGGTGGATGTTGCAGTGAGCCGAGATCGAGCCACTGCACTCCATCCTGGGCAAGAGCAAGACTCTGTCTCAAACAAACCCAACCAACCAACCAACCAAATACTGGATACCATTTAACAGGGTTCTGTCCCATTAGCCCTTGGGGAATTAAGGGCACTGGATGAGCAGTGAGAAAGGGTGGGTACTAGTCCTAGCCCTGCCCTGCCACCTTGGGCAAGTCACAACTTCTTGAGGGCCATTTTCTCAGCTGTTAAATGGTGCAACCCACAGACAATTGTGGGGCCAAGAAGATCCACCCTTTGTGAGTAAGAACTGCCCAGAGGCAAATGGAGTGGGTTTTTAAAATCAGTTCTTCCAAGTTTGCAAGCAGTAGTAAGGTTTAGGAATGCCAAAACCATCCAACAGCTATAGAGTCTAACAGCAGCTGCCTGGATCCTTGCCTCACACCTGCCTAGGTGGTGGTGGTAGGAGGAGTGGGGGTAGTTGCTTCTAGGCTTCAGGGTCTTCTGCCAGATCTCTGTCTCCTTTGGTTGAAACCTAAAGCATTAAACTCTCCTAGGAGCCATGGTACAGCTCTGACCAAAAACTCACCCTGGTTCTGGTTCTTGTTTCCACTATCCATAAGGACAGAAACAAGTATGTGTGCATACGCATGTCTATGCCTGGGAGTAGGATACCATGAGAAAGTCAGTGGGAATCAGCTGTTGCACAAGAGATAAGTGAGAGCAAAGGTACCATACAAACCCATGAAAAGAGATCAGTGAGATACTTTGGCCCTACACTGTCCCGATACCACTTCCAACATCTTTTTAAATAAGAAATCTGACTCCATTTTTTGCTGCTGATATTTGGCTGCTGACAGCTTTTAAGCAGCACTCCCTCTTCTCCACATCTGGGCAAGCTGTTAAAAAAGCCTAGGTGGGCCGGGTGCGGTGGCTCACGCCTGTAATCCCAGCACTTTGGGAGGCCGAGATGGGAGAATCACGAGGTCAGGAGATCGAGACCATCCTGGCTAACACGGTGAAACCCCCATCTCTACTAAAAATACAAAAAATTAGCCAGGTGTGGTGGCGGGCGCCTGTAGTCCCAGCTACAGGGGAGGCTGAGGCAGGAGAATGGCGTGAACCCGGGAGGCGGAGCTTGCAGTGAGCCAAGATTGTGCCACTGCACTCCAGCCTGGGCGACAGAGCAAGACTCTGTCTCAAAAAAAAAAAAAAAAGCCTAGGTGCTCTTTTTGGTGCTGGCAGATTTCAACTGTGTGCACTGGATACCCTCCTCCCAGCCTCAACCCTTAACCGCAATAAAAGCCCCAAGCTTGTCTCCTTTCCTGGCTCTCTCTAGCCATTTTCTGACCAGCTAGGTGGCCCTCTTTGCTCCCACAGGGAGCCTCAATTATGTAATAAACCTTTTCCGTTGGTGTGGGAAACACTTTCACTCACCGCTGGAAAGGGACCTCCTAGGAGGACAGTTTGCCAAAATCTATTAACTGTTTAAATTGAAATATTAAGGGGAAAGGGAGGAATAGGGAGAGATTTGTTAAAGGATACAGAATGACAGGTTCTAGTGTTCTGTACCACTGGAGGGTGACTGTAGTCAATAATATATAGTTTCAAATAGCAATGAGGATATCGAGCAATCCCAACACAAAGAAATGACAAATGTTTGAGATGATAGATATGCTAATTACCAGACCTGATCACCATACATTACATGCATTGAAACATTACTATGTACCCCATAAACATATATAACCATTATTTGCCTTTTTTTTTTTTGAGACAGTGTCTTGCTCAATTGCCCAGGCTGGAGTGCAGTGGCATAGTCTTGGCTCACCGCAACCTCTGCCTCCTGGGTTCAAGCAATCCTCCTTCCTCAGCTTCCCGAGTAGCTGGGACTACAGGGATGTGCCACCACGCTCGGCTAATGTTTATTGTATTTTTAGTAGAGACAAGGTTTTACCATGTTGGCCAGGGTGATCTCAGACTCCTGACCTCAGGCGATCTGCCCGCCTCGGCCTCCCAAAGTGTCAGGATTACAGACATGAACCACTCCGCCCGGCCTGCCAAATGTTTTAAAATACTAAACATTTTTTAAACTGAACAAAGTACAGACAGAGGAAGAAATATTTTCATGGGGCACACAACTACGGTTTTAGAGGTCAAAGGAATGAAACAAACAAACAAAGAAACAAAGAAAAACCACTAAACAAGAAAGTCAGAAAGTATGAATGAATTATGATTAAATATGAATGGGAAAATGAATGCTCAATTTTCAATTCCTTTGTAAATAGTTCATAAGTGAGTTAAATTTAGAAAATTGTTAAAAACTGAAAAAACTAGATAAAAACATATTTATTTGTATATGCACAAAAATAAATTAGCATATCCGTTCACTAGGCAATTCTAGTTAAAAGAATCATCGCAAGGAGATCATGGATCTAGTTATAGCTCATTGGGGTCACAACTACATCAGTTTTATTCAGCATTGTATACATAGCACCTAGCACAATATTTGATATGTAGTATGTGCTCAACAAATATTTTTTTGAAACATATACAGATGTATCTGTATGTTCATTCCAATTACTTGTAATATTAAAAAACTAGATATGACAAAATCCATCAATAGAGGAATCGATAAAGGAATCATGGGATTCTCTAACACGAGAATAAAGGTGACCTAGGAAGACATCCAAGATACATTATATGAGAAAGGGAAGAGGCAGCACAACATAGAGCCTGAGCCGAGTTTGATTTGAAACGTAGACAGTATGTACACAAGAAAAACAGGGGGAACACCACAAAGTAGTCGATATCCCTCAGGGGTGGCCTTATGGGTGATTTTCAGATTCTCTGAAGATTAAAAAAAAATGTTTACAATAAAGATAAATCACTTTTGACTCAATAAAACATAAAGCTTATTTATTCATGTTTTTGTAAGAGAAATAACAGGAGACCCCCAAGAGAGTGAGGCAGGCAAGTAGGGCTGTTACAGATGAGAGGGACTTCGGGAAGGGAGCCAGGTGATGTCCATTCACCTTGATGACTGACCAGCATCTAGACTGTGCTCCTCAACTGGTAGGCAATGCTGGTTCATACTAATAAGCTCATACAGGCCGGGCACAGTGGCTCACGTCTGTAATCCCAGCACTTTGGGAGGCCGAGGCAGGCAGATCACGAGGTCAGGAGATCGAGACCAGCCTGACCAACATGGTGAAACTCCGTCTCTACTAAAAATACAAAAATTAGCTGGGTGTGGTGGTGCGTGCCTGTAATTCTAGCTACTCAGGAGGCTGAGGCTGGAGAATCACTTGAACCCAGGAGGCGGAGGTTGCAGTGAGCAGAGATTGCGCTCTAGCCTGGGTGACAGAGCAAGATTCCATCTCAAAAAAAAAAAAAGAAAACTCATACAAAAGACTGGCTGGCTCATACTAACAAGCTCACAAAAGAAAAACATAGAATTTATTTTAGCAAGTACAACCATCACACAGGCAGTGTGCATTTTCGTGCCCTGTGACCAGCACATCTCTGTGGGCTGATCTACGAAGGGGATCAAACTCTGACTGAGAAGTCCCTTGATCTGTAGGACTGACTGCCATGGTTCAGAGGCTCACAATGGGGATAATTTGCCACAAGAACAGTTGAGTCCCTCATCCCTGGGAAGGTTTTTGAGAAATCTGGCTATATGGGCTTCCCTTGCTAAGGAAGGTACCTGGGCATTCACCTTCAGCTTTTATAGTCTTTTTTCAGAAAAAGAAGGATGAACTGATTTGATTTTATATCTTACTAAGTCTAGTCACACTTAATTCTACATCCAATAAGTTTACACTAACTCACCTTAATTGGAATGTGGGGATGCTGACAAATTCATCAAACATTTAGACCACTTCTTAGGTTATTTCTATCTTTCCATTTGTGTGAATTTTACTAATTAGATTCTGAGAAGGCAATCTTACTCATTTTTAATTTGGGGAACTGCCTTACCATCATCTTCATATACTGCCTCAAAAGGTATGAAGCAGGAAAGAGAGGGGAGGAGGCATGGAAGTCATGAGCTGTGTCACATGGTTTACAAAAAAGTTCAAAGAAAAAAGAGAACTAGATATTAGTAGAAACCAAGCACCTACCTTAGTCCACTGACTATGCTAAACACCCTACATGCATTATTCTCATTCAATCCTTCACATAGTGTAATTGTGGTAATATTAATCCCATTTTATAGATGAGGAAACTAAGGCTTAGAAAAAAGTAAAAAGCTCTTTAAAGTTTGCAGAGTTGAACGTGACTAAGAAACAGCCATTTTATGAAAACTTTGGGAGGTTTTAAGAAAACTCAGAATGAAAAGAAGAAAAATTGAAGGAACAGTTGTAAAGTTTTCTTTCAGGAAATTTGTGAACAGAGGAAAAAAGATGAGAGTGGGAAGAGGAGCAAGACCCTTTGGGGGCATAGGGTTTTTTTTAAGTTTTGGTAGCCCCAAGAGTGCTTACATAGTATCTACCTGGTACGCGTCATCAGGAACTTGGGAGGTGTTTGAGGTTTACAGATAAGAGGGAATAACTGCTACCACAATCAAGAGCAC